CATGCAAAGTAGTAAGCAAGATGTCACTTCTGACATCATTGCTTACTATGTGTGAAATCTGTGAATGATCACAGAGGTCACATGGTACAAGGCTATTCACAACAGCCTTGTACCATGTGACAAGTTGTGACCAATCACAGCTCTCACAGTATTTCTCAATGGCTGCAGGAATGCAGACAGAGAGAAGGAGCATTGATTGCTTTTACATCCTATATGGGTGTAAAAGCAATCAGTTTAAAAAATAAAAAAATCTTCATCAGCCCCCAAAAGTAGTACAGTGTCACTATGGTGACACTGTACTGCTAGGGTGACAGTATGTAAAAAAAAAAAAAAAATAATAATAATATAAAAAAAAAAAAAAAATGTAAAAAAAAATGTTTAAAAATTATAATTTTTGGTTATAAACAAATTTGGCTTATTTTTTTTTTTTACTAAAAAGATAACGGAATCAATTGTGGCCAAGATTTATGATGAAATATTATTTATTTGCAAAATTTTATAAGAAAAACACTTTTTTTCAAAATTTTTGGACATTTTCATTTACATAGCAAAAAAAATAAAAATCCCAGTGGTGAATAAATACCACCAAAATAAAGTTTTATCTGTCTCAAAAAAAAAAAAATTCATATGGGTACAGTATTGCATGACCGCACAATTGTCATTCAAAGTGTGATAGCGCTGAAAGCTGAAAATTGCCCTGGTCAGGAAGGGGGTAAAAGTGTCCGGACTGGAAGTGGTTAAACATGTGCAAAAAAAAAAAAAGATCACGACCGGCTCTGGCAGCGAAAGGGTTCATTTGCAGGGATTTCCTCTCACTTCCTGTTTGGCTATGGGACAGGAAGTGAAATCTGCAATGGGACACAGACAGGGAGATAAAATCTGACAGGGGTTATAACCCTCCCTTACTCTATCCTAAATGATAAAAAATAGAATGCCTGTAGTTCTGCTTTAACGGAGGCAGCTTTTCAGTCAACATAACAGCCAAGCAGGTGGCATTTCCCAAAGCAGTACTGAGCAATGGAAGTGAGCCTACTACGTATTCAGTGGAAATGGGTGTCCTGTGAGAGTTGTTTAGTAACACAGCCCGAGTCTCTTCTTATAGAATTACTTTTATTTTTCAGCAATGCTCCCCAGCACACACTCCCCACATAGGAACCTCTGTCAGGGAGGACAGGACCTGCTGCTTAACGTTTTTCTCTTTCCTCCGTTTCCGGGGGGGGGATCCTATTCCAGAGCTCTTCGCGCGCTTGGTTTCCATAGGAACGGAGAAACGGCCAGTACAGAAGATTCCAGGAGGATGTCGGAGAGAGAAGCGCCGTTTACCTTCCGCCCCCTGCCGGAGAGCACCATCAGCTTTCTGGAGAAGACAGACACCCGAGAGCTGCTGACCAAATGGTAAACAAGGCGGAGATGGCACAGCCCGGTGTAGCGGCAAGATGCGTGTCCCGTGAAGATATGTCTGCCCTGTATGAAGTGCGCATCTTGCCGTTACACCGGTCCTGGCGCAGAACTCTGAGGCGTCGTTCCTAAAGCCAGCAGGCCTCTCCCACACGGGCCTATGTGTGATTTCTGCAAATGCCGAGCTGCGCACGGTCCTGTGTAAAGATATCACGTCAAGTGCCCACATTCAGATACAGTGTACAGTCCTTCTTTATGGGCCGGATCACCTCAGGATCACGGGGAACGCGCCCACATTCCTGACCATTCCCACACCGTGCGACCATGCAGCCCATTCATTTGAAGACAAATTTTAAAAAAAGCACCACGGTACCACGTGATTCGGTGGCCACAAACGTACTGTGAATGATTGCAGAGGCAATGTATTATGAGCGCAATGCAGGAAATGCGTGTGGAACGCGTTGTGAACCAGCCCTTCCAATGAATGACTACACGTGTAGGGGTTTATGCACATACACACTGAAAAATATCCACTTAACAACCACCCACCTGCAATGTACTGCGGATGGGCGATCGTTGTATACAAAGCAATGTACCCATACGTTGTTGCTGCCTACTTCTGGGTGCCCTCCGGCAAGTTACCCGCTGTGATTGTACAGAGTACCAGTCTGTCAGCAAGTCCCAGCCAATGATTCATGTCCGGGACCTGCTGATCAGCTGTGTCCAATCACAGCCCAGAGCTCTGTGTGGACATTCAGTACAGGGCTCTGTACAGAGGGAATGATCTCTGTGTATCTCATCCCTGCAAAGCAGGAATGAGAAACGTAGAAATCGATTAGTAAAAGCAGCACATAATACACACAGTCAGGCACACATTTGATCCCCCTAGATTTTAAGCCTTCCCAGTCAGTGTCTTTAGTACAGGGACAGTGTATAATGCTATCACTGTATTAAGGAGCATCTCCAACGTCACACGATTTCCAGTGCGACTTTTATGCGACTTTACATTCACTAGGCTGAAGTCGTACTAAAGTAGTGCAGTAACTACTTTCAAGTCGCATGACAAGTTGCACCCCATGTTTCCCAATGAGTACCATTCAAATCACACAGATTTGAATGGTACTCACTGGGAAACATGGGGTGCAACTTGTTATGCGATTTTGGACCCCAAAGTTGCACAAGTGTGAATGGACTCTTAGAGCCATTTCACACCAGTGTGTTGATCTGCATTTTAGCACCTCCATAAAATGCAGATCAACCAAAGGACATCTGAAAAACAGACATTTCCAATATGCCTTATTCACACCATAACGCTGGGTTGACATTGGTTTCACTAAAATGCAGCATGTATGTATTTTAGCACAACGCAATGGATGTAATCGGATGCCAACACAATGCACAGGATATCCTGTGAAAATGCAGTATGCTTTAATGCACGCTAAAATGCATGTCAATGGACAGCAAAATGTATGTCAGTGGATGGAAATGTACATCCATTTTCTATATTGTTTAGTGCATGTTAGTGTGTTGGCCCTTAGGGCCAGTTCACACTACATGCGTTTAAGTGTGCTTTTTTGCTGCATCCAAAACACACAGAAAGTATGGTTGTTAGTGTCATAGTTCACATCAGTGCTTGCAATTCCAGTGCATTCCAGTTGCAGAAAAAAAAAAAATAGAACAGACTGCATTTTTCCTGCACAGAACTGTACTGGAATGTGGTAAAACATACATGTCCCTATTTAAATTGAAGAAAAAGGGGAAAAATGAACCAGAAAGCATCAAAAACACACACTGGAACGCATCAAAAACTCACAGGAACATGTCAAAAACGTGCATGCGGGAACACATCTGGAATGCATCTGGACTGCGTTTCTATAGTATGAACCAGCCCTTAATGTCACTGGTGATGTCAGTGCCAGTCACTTCCCCCCAGCTTTAGTTAATGTCAGGTTGCCCACTGGACTATTGCAGTCCCTGATCACTTCCATTAGTAATTTAAAAAATCCAGTATATGTACCATAGTATGTGGGCACTTTTATGCAAACCAATCAATATACAGCTATTGGGATTGGGTTTTTTTTTTTTACCAAAGACATGTAGCAGAATACATTTTGAACAAAATGTATGAAGAAATTTGATTTTTTTTAAATTTTTTATTGGATATGCTTAATAGCAGAAAGTAAAAATATTGTTTTTTTTTTCTTTTCAAAATTGTCGGTCTTTTTTCATTTACATTGCAATAAATAAAAAAAAAACAGTGGTGATCACATACAAGCTAAAAAAAAGCTCTATTCATGTAACAACAGGATATAAATTTCATTGGGTTACAGTGTTGCATGACCGAGCAACTGCCAGTTAAAGTTGAAAAGCAAGAAAATGCCCCGGTCATGAAGGGTTAAAACATTTTGTAGCTGAAGTGGTTAAGGGCCGATTCATGCCCGGATCACACAGGAACACGGGCCACATTCACGAGCATTCCCATGTGATGCAGCTTTGCAGTCCATTCATTTGAATGCAAATAAAGTAGTAAATGCACTATAAAAAAGGCACAATGGTACCAAGTGGTTTGGTGGACACAAACGCACTGTTTGATAGCAGAGGCAGTGCATTATGAGTGCAATGCAGGAAACGCGAATAAAAACATATTTTTGGTGTGAACCAGCCCTTCCAATGAATGACTACACATGTACAGGTTTATGCGGGTATGTACATAAAATATACAGGCGCGTGCGGATGCCCTGGACGCAGTTGTGTTCTACTTTTTCTGGCTTACCTCAGAGCACATTAACATGAGTTAACAGGCAGCAATCAAAACCTGGTTGGTGTTCTAATCCCTCTCCACGCTATATAAAACTAAAATAAACTTTAACTTTCGTTGTACTTTAATTTGTATGAAAACCCATTGGACCTCTTTTATTTGCTGTCTTTTGCACTGGTAAATATCCCATGGAAAGTATTTTATGTTGATCCTGCCAGAAATTCAGTGCTGTTCTGTGCAGCCTGCAGTCTTCTCTCAAGCAGTCTCATTGAAGAAAATGTAAAGTGGTATTAAATCCAAAAGCAAAAATGTATTCTGTTGCAGCTTACCAATCATTAGATGTGATGGCTACATTGGTTTTCTTTTTTTTTTTTAACTTTTTTTCCTCTCTGTTGTCACCTGGTGATCTGGCCAGTAACACACCTCCTGAGTGTCCCCACTTTGGATGAAGAAGCACAGGGGGCACCTTTGGACAGCGGAATTTACAACTACCACGCATTATTTTTTGCATAATGCTGCTGCTCTTGGACAAGTGGTTTTTTTTTCTGCCTCTTAATCACTTTCCGACTGGCCGTTGTATATAAACGGCCGGATGGGGGCACTGCAGGGTCAGGTGGCCGTTTATAAACGGCCTCCCCGCACCCTGCTTGTGCGCGCTCCCTGGGAGCGTGCAGCACTGCGATCCAGTGCCCGCTGTGTCCTCCGGACACAGTGAAACACCGATCGTCGGACAGGACCTCTGTATGAGGTCCCGATCATGTGATCACTGATTGGCCAATCAGTGATCACATGCAAAGTAGTAAGCAAGATGTCACTTCTGACATCATTGCTTACTACGTGTGAAATCTGTGAATGATCACAGAGGTCACATGGTACAAGGCTATTCACAACAGCCTTGTACCATGTGACAAGCTGTGACCAATCACAGCTCACTCAGTAGTTCTCAATAGAGACAGAAAGAGAAATGATTGCTTTTACATCCTATATGGGTGACACTGTACTGCTAGGGTGACAGTATGTACAAAAAAAATAAATAAAATAAAATAAATAATAATATAAAAAAAAATATAAATGTAAAAAAAAATGTTTAAAAATTATAATTTTTGGTTATAAACTAATTTGGCTTATATATTTTTTTTTTTTACTAAACAGATAACGGAATAAATTTTGGCCAAGATTTATGATGAAATATTATTTATTTGCAAAATTTTATAGGGAAAAACACTTTTTTTCAAAATTTTTGGACATTTCCATTTACATAGCAAAAAAAAATAAAAATCCCAGCAGTGAATAAATACCACCAAAATAAAGTTTTATCTGTCTCAAAAAAATGGTAAAAAATTCATATGGGTACAGTGTTGCATGACCGCGCAATTGTCATTCAAAGTGTGATAGCGCTGAAAGCTGAGAATTGCCCTGGTCAGGAAGGGGGTAAAAGTGTCCGGACTGGAAGTGGTTAAAAACCCCTGCCACTAATTTCTGTAAAAAGTCTATGTGTACATGGGAGTTTAGAGGCAGGAAAAAAAACATCCGACGCACCTAGATGCATCTGCAAAAATGTCCAGTGTGCATGAGGCCTTAAAGTTTATCTATAGCCCAAAAACATATATTTAAAAGCACAATATGTGGTTTAGAGGGCATAGGATGGGGTGTTGTTCACTTTATTGTGGCACCACCCGCCATATTGTCTCTAATGTCTCAGTGAACATTTCAAATTTGGTATTTTTTTTCCTTCCTCTCTGGACTTAGTCTCTGAAGAATGAGGTAACTTCACCGTGCCTCCCAGATATGTTTTCACCCTCCTCTTCTGTTGAAAACGCACAAAGTACATTACTGCATTCCCTTTGCCATCTTCTATAGCAGGGGTCTCCAAACTTTCTAAACAAAGGGCCAGTTTACTATCCTTTAGGCTTTAGAGGGGCCGGTCTGTGGCCATTGGGAGTTGAAACTGTACTGGTGTCAGTAGGAGTAAACAATGCATCTTTGGTATTAGGGGGAGGAATAATGCACCATTGCTGGTGTCAGTGGGAGGAATAATGCCCTATCGTTGGTGTCAGTTTGAGTGCCTCATTGGTGTCAGTGGGAGGAATAGTGCCCTGTTGTTGGTGTCAGTGGAAGAAATAGGGCCCAATTGTTGGTGTCAATGGGCCCCATTGCTGATGTTAGTAGCGGGAATTATGCCCCATTGTTGGTGTCAGTGGGAGGAATAGTGCCTTGTATAAGTGGGAGTAAAAGTGCCTCAAGGGCTAGATAAAACCAAGCAAAGGGCCGCAGTTTGGAGACCACTGTTCTATAGGGACACAGCCACAGGAACACGGTCAGCTTCTGGGTTATAGCCACTGCTTCTCTGAACATCCAGAACCCCATAAGTTCTGCGCTGCTGAAACCATGAGAACCCACTAGGCATCTCCTCACTAGCAATGGCGGATCCCAGGCAGAAGGGAGCTGGAACAAAAGGGCCTAATACTATGCGTTCTGCAGACAGCCTACAGGAAACTGAGAACACTGCTCAGGGTGATGTCTTTCCTTGTTCTGACACTGCTCCCTTCATCTGACTCTGGCTCCCTCACAGGCTCAACCCATGCAGCCTGTCTGACAAAATCAGAGTTCTCTGTCACTATGTCTGAATTCTTTGGAAACATTTTGGCACTCTCGGGTCTTTTAGTTTCCAGAGGCACATTGTCTATTCTCCCTGCCACTGTTAGGATTTAGAAGCGAAACCTCCCTTACTTGAAGATATAGAGGAAGGTATTGAAAACATTGACTATGTAGTGGAGGCAATGGACGATTTTCCAACCATTATAGCTGATGACGTACAAGCTGTAGCTTTGCACCAAATGCTTTGCACTGAGGACAGGCTAATTGATACAGTGCACATTAGTCTTCGACTAATAGCATATAATTCTCTACAGTCAAAACAGATCCTATGGATACTAAGAGACTGGCTAAGTCTGAAAGGACTTTTCCTATGCACATACAGCTTGATTCTGAAGATTGGTTATGCCCTGAAATGGTTTATACTCCTTCTAAGCTTTTTTTTTATCATATGGAATAGGATTTTAAAAAGAAATTGTCTATTGCAGTAGTAAACTTTGCCATTTCAATTCCCAATAAACACCCTGCAGTTTCTTATTTTAAAGATTCTGTTGATAAGTGATTTGACATCCTTTCAATTGCCTTATTTTCTCTAGCAGGTGCAGCCCTGCAACTGGCAATTGCTGCCATGTCTATTTGCCAGGAACCTGTCTTTAAAGACCACGCTCTCCTAGAACAACTACAGCTGATGCCTTCAGCCCTCTTGTTTTGTGTTGATGTTCTTGAAAATGTTTTCAAACAAGTCTCAAGAATCTCTTATCTTTGTGCACATGTTCAGGATTTTATAGCTAAAAGCTTCGACTGCTGAACATGCTTGTAAGAATTGTCTTCTATGCATGCCCTTTGATGGTGAACACCTCGCCTCTTTCCAGAATCCCTTGACAAATTCATCAAGAAAATCTTTCTGGCCAGGTGTCAAACTCAAAATCAAGGCTTAACACTTCCTTTCGTCAAAAGTCCTGGACTACCAAGCCTTCCCAGTAGCCCTCCCTGAAATGAAGGGGCGTTCCCACTCCTTAGAGTGGGAAGATGTCTGTTGGCATTTGCACCAGTCTAGATCCGAGATGTCCTAGACTTCTAGGCCCAGTCTTTTATTCCAAAGGAGTACAAAACAGAGTTTCTATCCTTACCCCTTCCTCACGTTTTACCTTAAAATCTGGCAGTCTCAGACCAATAGAAGGCAGATTTAATGACTGCCTTGCACCATCTTCAGTAGGGATGCGCCGAAACGTTTCAGCCAAAAATACTTCCATCGGCCTTTGGCCGATATGAAAATAAGCACTGATACAGGTGCCGAAAAGTACCCCGCCCCCTCACTGCCTCTGTCCTGTAGTTCTCAGCCTTACCTGAGAACCCAATCAATGATCCCTGTTCTGGGCATAGATACTAGTGAAGGAAAGATGGCCTCCACTCATCTCTTTGCCCTTGGAGGATCGGCATCATCATTACGTCTTTTCTGGTTCCGGCGCCTTGTAAACAAGGCCCATTTTTTTCTTAAAGCACTAGGTCAATGCTTTTTTTATCTAATGCTTTACAATATAGAGAAGAGATGTGGGGTCCTATTGACCACATATATATCTCTATTAAGAGGATCTGTCACTTCTTATTTTTATCACAAGGGATGTTTGCATTCCTTGTAGTAGGAATAAAGGTGAAAAAAAAATTAAAAGGGACAGCGTAAATAAAAATAATAAAATAATAATTTTAAAAAATGTTTAAAGTGCCCCCGTGCTCGCGTGTAGTGGTGAACGCATACATAGGCCACGCCCACATATGTAAATAGTCTTCAAACCACACATGTGAGGTATCACCATGAACGTCAGAGCTAGAGCAATAATTCTAGCACTAGATGTCCTCTGTAACTTTAAACTGGTAACCTGTAGAAATTTTTAAAGCGTCACCCATGGAGATTTTTTAAGTACCGTAGTTTGGTGCCATTCCACAAGCGTGCACAATTTTAAAGCATGACATGATGGGTATTGTATCAATCATGCACACAGAGATGGACGCGGTCATCCATTTTGCTCCAAACCCCTCCATATTGAATCTCTCTCTCCCAAATCAGATTCCTCCGACATCCACCTTCCCTCTCTGCTGAGTGACATGTGGTCTGTTTGTTGCAGATATCACAGGCAGCAAACTCATTGGGAGGGTGTCATGGCTATAAAACCCCCAGCCGAGCTGCTGCCTAGATGTTTGTTAACTTCTCAATCTGGGATATCGTAAAGCCATAAACCAAGTCCTTCACTGAGCTCAAAGGCATTCCAGGTAGTCATAAAAACAGACTTACATTTAAAAACTCACTTTTTCCATATAATTCTATATCTTCAAATAGTACATAATTACATAAACAGGGAGCATATATTCGGACGGCTCACTTTAAGACAAGTCGCCTTGTATATTAAACCCCCTAGCTGGCATATACAGGAGAGCAGAAAATTATATCTCCTTAACCATCCAAGCATGTATCTCATATTTCATATGTAGACGTTCAGCAGAAGATTCTGGGTATTAATCTACTCGTGGATAGAATGTTATATGTAACTAGGAAAAGTTATTGGCCATAGTATAATTTGTGAAGGCTTTGGTCATAGCCTGAGCTCCCCCGCCTACACAATCCCCTCCCCAAATGAGGCTATTGGTTCTTTGCTTCAGGGAGACACCCTGTGGAGTTCCTAGAAAAAGCTAAGCTAAGCTGAGAAGAAGTTGTAGATTTCTGTAAATATTTTTATTGCACCCTTTTGACCTTTTAGTAATAAATCTTACTTTCTGAATGTGTTGAACTGTTTCTAAAGCTCTTTAATGCAAACTAAGAATCCCTGCCTCTGAAAAGTGCTACTGTGTGTGTGTTTTAAACTTTGGTATATCTCTGCCTGCGGTGACAGTGGTATACCGACGATTATTCAAACATCATAGTGTTATTGCTGATATTGCAGAGTTTCCTCTTTCTCTGTACAAAAAGGAGGTGTTGGCGGTGTGAAGGGTTAATTGCGTAATTAACCTGACCCAGTAACAATCGCTCCCAGGCTGCCGGCACACAGGTTGTGGTCCATTAGCTGGAAAATCTTTGTGCAGGGTGCAGCTGGGTGTGGCATTTGTTACGCACGTGACAGCGCGGTTTTAGATTGGCTAGTTCTTGGGTCACTAGTTTGGTGAGAAGGGCTGGGGTCTGACGCCGCGATCGTCACAGGTATCTATTTACTTGGCATAACATCATCTTTCATATTTTACAAAAACATGGGGTATATATTGTGTTTTTTTTTAAAGTATATTTTTTTCCCAAAAAAATGCATTTGAAATATATATAACATTTTTAAAAACTGTCCAATTCGGTCTCAGCCAAGTGCATTCTGAATTTTTGGTTTCGGCACCAGAATTTTAATTTC